TATGTAATGTATGAATATAATATACAAGTTTCACTTTTTAAATGGAATTACTGAAATAAATCTACTTTTTCATGATATTCTAATTTTATGACCAGCACCTGTATATGGTGTCTTTAGATCAGTAATTTATTTCATTAAGTTTACACAACTGACTAGAATGTACTCAAAGTAACATTTTATATTTCCTTCACACCTGCCCATCACCTTCATCTCTTACCTGAGACACTCTGTCCTACCTGAGACACTCTGTCCTACCTGAGACACTGTCCTACCTGCTGCCCCTGACTCTGAGCTCCTATCAACAGACATGAAGATAGATTAAGTTTTTTACTGTCACCTGAAGTCAGTCAGCTTTGAAAACTCAAGAAAATATCATGAAATAACATCAATAAATACCTGATCAATATTTGTTCTTCGCATCATTTGACTTAAAAATAAATGTTTTCTGACCATGAAGCTCTGTTTTTATGCAGAAAATACAGAAACTCTAAAAGAAACAAACTTTTTTGATGTGATGAATTTATTTTTGCTAAGATAATAAAAACTGCACATGTACACTATAATATTTATAGGCTTTACTATATACAGGTGTAGTGAAGCTAGTAGTCTAAATTACAGAAATTTTTGATGACTTTATGAATGTAAAATATAACAGGGGATCAATATTTTCAATATTTCAATATTTTTCTGCTTGGCCTTCAGAAGAGTCGGACGCTTTTTGCCTTCTCTTCCGAACCTGTCCCTCCTTCCCTGCTTTGCAGCTGTGTCAAGCCTTTCTTCTTCTACCTATCATTCGAAAACAAAAGGAATTATGGATTTGGTCAATTGGTCTCTGAAAGCAATCGACACTATTTTTTTCCACACTGAGACTGGAGCATGGGGAGTGCAGCTGTCCCAGTGGAATGGTGGCGGCAGGGCGAGTGTCTGGGTCTTCGGGGTGGAACCTCATTTGTTTGGCCCCACTTTCTATTGAAGGCGTTAAAGATCTGTATATGTTTGGATTCATGATAACTGGATTCCTGCTGATCGGCTGTGGAAGAGTCCTGGCTTATTGGAAAATGAAAGTGATCCTGACAGCAGTCCGGGAATGTCAAAAGCTGTCAGGGACCATGGATGGAATCTCCCTCACTGGGAATGCACAAACTCAAATGCTGGGGGATATAAGTCGTAAACTGGATGTGATTCTGACAAGGTGCCCGTGAGGAGTAATGGTGCGTTCACACCGAACGCGATTTCAGCGTCAGGAACAGCAGGTTTATATACAAAGTCTATGGTGGACGCGCTTCAAGCAACGTCGGGAAGTGCTGCGGCGTCTCAAGCGCGATTAGAGCAGCGCGATTTGAACGATTTGGACGATCTGAGCGTTCGATGCGCTGAGGCGCAAATCGCTGAAGTTAGAAAATCTGAACTTTTGCAGCTCGACGCGC